CCAGTAACAATAGCAAAGTTCAACAGAGCAGCAAACAAAAAATGCTGGCAAGGTTGTGGAGAAATTGGAACCCTTATTCATATTCATTACTGGTGGGTGTAAAAATGGTATAACCACTATGAAAGGCAGTATGGCATGGCACTTTCTCAAAAAGTTGAAAATAGAAATATCACTTGACCTAGCAAATTCCACTATTAGGAATGTACCCTAAAGAAACCAGAGCTGTCACCCAAACCAATGTATGCACACCTATGTTTACTGCTGTATTATTCACAATAGCAAAGAGACAGAAGCACCCAACTGCCTATCAACAAATGAGTGGACAGAAAACCTATGGTATAGTCACACAATGGAACAGTATGCAGCAAAGAACTCATAAAACATTATAAAACATGGATGACCTTCAAGGACATTATGCTGAATGAAACATCTCAGTCATAAAAGGACAAATACTGTCTAACACCACTGCTGACATGAGGGTTGGGGGGAAACTAAGAAAAAGAGGGGATAAATAATGAACACTGCATTAGAACAGATAAAGGAAAGAACTGTGTAAAAGGAATATATTATTATGTATTATTTGCATAACAATAGTCAAAAATAAGAGGTGCATGGCAAAGTGGACTGGGAAGGCAGGGAGGAAATTATGCAACACTGAATGATTTTTTTTTAGGTGAACTGGGGGTGAGTAGGGAGGAAAGTATGCAACAATGAATGAACAAAAATCTAAATTTTCTGTAAACTTGTGTTAAAATCACAATTTAAAAAATTTTAAAAAAGTAAGACTACATGAAAGTTCAGAACTTTTATCAAAAGACTTTACCAAAAAATGAAAAGACATATTTATCAACAGGAATAATATGTTCAGAAACAATAAGTTGTTGTTGTTAAGTACCACCGAGTTGCCTGTAACCCATAGAGACCCTATGTAAAGCAGCTCTGAACCCTGCCTTGTCCTGAGCCAGTCTCACTAATTCTGACACACCTCTTCCCATTACCCCAGTTATTGCATCAATCCATCTCATTTGGGGTCTTCCTCTCCTGCACTGTCAATATATCTAACAAAAATCTAATCATCAATATACATATATAAGACTTTAACAACTTAGATTTCTGGTGATCTAGTGGATAAGGAATTGCACTACCAACCCAAAGCAAGCAGTTCAAATCCATCAGCTGCTCCCAGGACACTAATCGACAATCTCCTCCCGTGAAATTTACAGCCTCTAAAAACCTACAGGAGTTTCTAGAGGGAGAAACGAGGCAGATACCAACAAGAATCTAATAACCAAATCATGTATAAAATTTTGAAAACTTAACAGCCCGAAGGACTTGAATAGACAATTCACTACAGAAGACATTCAAATGGCCAACATACACATGAAGATTCTTGGCATCATCAAACCCACAGTAAGATACCATTTCACTCCCCTTTGGATGACTAAGGGGGGAAATGAGTTAATACCAAATGGATGGATGGCGAAGAGATTGAGATTGTTCACAGCTTCAGTTTGCTCAGCTCCATGGTCAACACTCTCGGCACCAGCAGCCAGGAAATAAAAAACGTATTGTTAGGAACTTCTCTAAAGTACTGAAGAGCAACGGTGTGTCTCTGGAGACTAAGGTGCATCTGACACAGGCCATGGTCTTTGCAATTACTTGTTATGCATCAGAGAGTTGGACAATGACTAGAGAGGATAGAAGAATTGATGTCTTTGAGCTGTGGTGCTGGAGAAGAGTATCGAATGTACTATGGACTGCCAAGAAAACAAACAGATTCATCCTGGAGAGGGTTAAACTGGGATACTCCTTGGAGGTAGGGATTCTGGGGCTTCCTCTGACATACTTTGGACATGTTGTAAGGAGGGACTGGTTCTTGGAGAGGGACATCATGCTTGGGAGGGTGGAGGGACGGCGCAGGAGGGGAAGACCCTCTATGAGGTGGGTTGATTCAGTGACTGGGGTAATTGGGATGGGTGTGTCAGAGGCAGTGCAATTGGCACAGGATAGAGCAGGGTTTAGGGCTGTTGTACATAGGGTCGCTATGAGTCGCAAGTGACTCAACAGCACATAACAACAACAACAAATGTTGGCAAAGAAGGAGGAAATAGAAATCATTATCCATTGCCAGTTAGAATGCAAAATTGTGCAGCCATTGCAGAAAACAGTGTGATGGTTTCTTAAAACAACAATGAAAACCCCCAAAAAGAAATTAAAAATAAGCCCAGCAATAAATATGAATTAGCAATCCCACTCCTAGATTTGCACCCAAAATTCTTGAAAGCAAACACTCATAAAGAGCCAAAAGCTGAAAGCAACTTAAATGCCCATTAACAGTAGAATAGAAAACATGTGACACATACATAGAGTAGATTACTATTACTACTCAGCCAGTAGGAGAAATGAAGCCTTGATACAAGCCACAGTATGGATAGAGCTAAAAGACATGGGTGAAATGAGCAAATCATGAATGATAAATATTACATTGCTTCATTTACTAACAGGACAAAAAAAAGACAAATGGACAGAGACTAATGCTTGTTAGTGGTTACCAGGGATGAGTAAGTATAGCAAAATAACAGTGAAGAAAAATTGCATTGATTAAGGATAGGGCTGGTTGTACAACCTGTTATTGTAACTACTGTCAATAAATTACACACTTGTAAAAAGTGGGCTTGGTAAAAGCTGTGCGATAGATATATTTACAGCAACAGCAGTAAAGTAGCTGCTAAAGCTGCTTATTTACAACCAACACATCAAGGGATTTGTTTCCTTGGTTTGGAAGTTTAAGGGCATGGTTTCAGGGGACATACCAGTTAATTGGTCTAATAATGTGTTTGGAACTTCGGTTCTTATAGTTCATAGGGTTGTGGCTGAGGTCTTAAAGACTTGCAAGTGTCCATCCAAGGCACAAATGGGTCTCTATTCACCTGCAACAGCAGAGGAGGAAGGACTGTCAGAAACAGGAGGTGATACAGAGTACTGTGGCTCATAGCCTCCTTTATCATGAGACCAGAGGAATTGGATGGTGTTCAGCTACCATTACTAAACAATTTTATCAAAGATCCTGTAGAAGAATTCTGATCAGAAGAGGGAGAATGCAGAGCAGAATTTTTAAATCTTCATGGAATCCAGAGTTTCTGGATCTATAGAGGCTGGATGAACCCTCCAAATTTATTGTTCTGGAATAATCTATAAATCTGAAACAAAAGTACCCCCCAAGTTTTCTTAAAATCTAACAATGGTTTAGCTTAACTATAATACTAAAAGAAGATCTGCCTCAAGAATTACCTTTTTCAGAATTATCTAACATAGGATCAGAGTGACAGCAGCAACTTAGCTCTGAAACTCAGGAGTCAGTGAGTTTATGTTAATAGGGGAGGAACAACTCAGGACAGGAGTTGTGAGATTGGAACATCAAGAATGTAAATTGATGTCACTTAATTGTACATGTAGAAATTGCTGAATTGGTGGTGTGTTTTGTTTTACATATTCTTAACAACAAAAGAAATAAAATGCAAGAAACATAAAAGGCAATAAAAATGCTGCCAAGTAAGATCAGTTGTTCCGAATTTACAGATAAGAAAACTGAGGCCCTGGAGGTTAAGTACTTGCCGAAGGACAAACAGCTAAAAAAACCAACTCTCTGCACCTGCTTAAAAAAAGGCAGGTGCAGAGAGTTGGTTTATTGAGCACTGTTTCTAATTTAGGGAACCCTGGTGTTGCAGTCTGCAGGGAGTTGTGCTTTTAACCCAAAGGCAATGTCTCTCCGGTGGTTCAAACCTACCAGTGGCTCCAAGGGAGAAAGATGGGCAATCTCTTCTCATGTAATTTACAGCTTCTGAAAACATATTAAAGGGCGAGCTGCAAATCTGTTCCAATTCAACAGCAATGAGATTTTTTTTCTGTTCCTCAGATGTTTGACAATGAACACATGTTACTTTTATAATAATGAAAAAGGGCTGCAAGTTACAGTATCCCTCAGCTGCCTCCTCATCCTGGCAAATACCTGTTTCACTGTCCCCATCCCCAGACCAGCTATGGCTAGAGTAGGACAGTCAACGCCTCAGTCTTGCTGAGGTCTGCTCAAAATGTCCCTAGGTCCTGCGGCAGTGCCGGGGGCAGGTCCTCAGAAGGGGAAGGGGAAGCAGGAAGGGATGTGAAACTTGGCCACAGTTGTGCTGCCCCCGATGAGTGTCCCACAAGGATCCCAGAAAGCAGACAGAGGTCTGGGTGGAGGGCAGGAAGGAACGCCAAGTCGCCAAGTCGGAATTGATTACCAGAAGCAGGTGAGGCCAGGGGCTGAGAGGAAGGGGGCTGTGAATTCGGAAGCAGGGAGGCTGGCCCAGGCATCAACTGACACAGGAAGAAAGAGGTGAGACCACCTGTGGAGGGTGCAAAGTACTGATTCAGGACCTGGAATGGAAAATGAGGGTCTAGAGTTCTGGGGAGGGCAGAGAGAAGTATATGTACCCATCTATTCTAACCAGGATTCCTGGGTCCTGGTCCCCCAAAACAGAGAGCTAGGAGAAGGCTGATGGTGTCTGTGTCCAGCACAGGATCACATGAACGGGTGTGGAAAGCAGCAGAGGGTTCAGGGGGATGAGTGGATGTGGAGGGGATGTGACTCTCGAGTATCTGTGACCAAGTGAGGGTGTTCGTTGAGTGAGACCAGAAGCTCCGTGAATATTTACTCAGCGGGATCTGCTATCATCATGAGTGTGTGAATGTGTGTGTCCAGGTGCAGGGACAGAAAGGGGAGGTGTCTATTGGCATCTGTGTGCTCAGGGCTGTGTCCTGGCCTTTGTGTCCAGTGTTGGGGAGGTGTGTGAGTGAGAGGCTCTGTGTGTGTGTGTGTGTGTGTGTGTGTGTGTGTGTGTGTGTGTGTACACGCATGCACGCACGCGGGTGCTCATTCTTACGATATAGGATTTAAGTGGCAGGGTTGTGCATATGCTATGCTCAGCCTGCAGGCCCTGCCCTATCTTCCCAGTGCCATCATGGAGGCACCCGGGGGCTGGCTGGTGGTCTGTGTCCTCCTCGTATCCCTGACCTCCACCATGACCCAAGATGTGTGCCGAGCACCAAATGGGAAGGACGGAGCCCCAGGAATTCCTGGTCGACCAGGGCGCCCAGGCCTCAAAGGGGAGCAAGGGGAGCCAGGTAAGTACCTCCCTTGGACCCCAGCCCTCTCCAGTTTGCACACCACCCAGAGTGTTGAGGTGACCAGCCCTTCTCCCTGGGCCATTTCCCAGCCCTAGAGGCCCCTACACAGCCACCTTCCTGCCTGCATCCTCTGTGAGCTCCCCTTCATCCTCTGAAGGGTGAGTCTCTAAGAACCGTGATGTGAAAGGCCAGTAACAGTGCCTGGGCCTTGTTAGTAGTTTAGTTAACTGAGCAAGTAAGGCCACAGGCTTTAGACTCTACCTTCCTATGTGACCTCAAACAAATTACTGACTCTTTCTAGGCCTCAGTTTCCTCATCTGCAAAATAAGTATAAATAACCTTGACCCCTACCTGGAACATGGAAGGAGCCCTTTGTTGGAACTGTATTAAAAGCACTCAGATACTAATCAGAACGTCAGAGCCAATCCACAGGAGAAAGGTGTGGCTGTCTGCTTCCATATTATTTTTCTTGTTGTGTATCCTCAAGTTGGAACTGATGCCCAGGCACCGAAAGCTGACCCTCCAGCGGGTTTTCAAGGCAGTTAATTGCACAAGAAGAGATTGTCCATTTTTTGTCTGTGAATAAGCTGGTAGATTTGAACCATGCACCTTTGGGTTGGCAGCACAATTCCTTACCACTAAGCTACCAGCCTTAGAAATCCTGTGGTGTGGTTGTATTCCACCCTATATAGTCATTAAGAGTCAGAAGTAACTCAGGGGCAGTGAATTTGGGTTTTGGCACAGAGAAAGGGGTCAAGTAACTGCAGCCGTCGTCCCTCTCATCCTCCTTCCCATTCCATTTCTTCTTTACTTCCCCTTCCCTCCTCAGCTTGTTCAGAATTCAGATCCTCTCTTGTTCTGGGGCTGAGAAATTCTAGGAGAGAAAGAATAGAAAGGATGTCACAATGGCATCCCCCACCAAGACTCTCAGCCCAGGGCAGAGCGGAAGGACCAGCATTTGCAGCATCTCACAGCAGGCAGCTTGCTGTGGTCTCTGAGCCGGAAGCTGGTCACACGGCACCCAGGAGCCATGGACATGGCCACTGGGCCAGTGGAGGAGGAAGGGTGTCTGCATTTCCCAGTACCTGACGTACCCTCACAAGAGTGGGTCCATGCTCCTCTCCACTTTGCTAAGAGGAAGCTGAAGCCCAGAGATGCTGAGACGTGCTCAGGGTCACACTACCAGATAGAATCAGTGTCTCAAAGGCCCAGGCTCCCCCTCCCCCCACCCCAGCAACCTCTCTTCGCAGGGTCCAGGACTGTCCTTGACAATGAAGGGGCCCGGGACGCTCACACCAATCAGGTCTCTTTCCCCAGGGGCTGCTGGCATCCGGACAGGTATCAGAGGCCCCAAAGGAGACCAGGGGGACCCTGGGCCACCTGGAAGAGCTGGCAACATGGGCTTCCCAGGACCCAGTGGCCCCCCAGGGGCTCCTGGGCTTCCGGGGCTGAAGGGCATCAAAGGTAACCCAGGAAACATGAGGGACCAGCCACGGCCAGCCTTCTCAGCAGTGAGGAGAAACCCCCCAAGAGGAGGAAACATAGTCATCTTTGACACCGTCATCACCAACCAGGAGGGCCCCTACCAGAACTACTCGGGCCGGTTCATCTGCGCCGTGCCCGGCTACTACTACTTCACCTTCCAGGTGGTGTCCAAGTGGGACATCTGCCTGTCCATCATGTCCTCCACGAGGGGCCAGACCCGGCGCTTCCTGGGCCTCTGCGAAACCAATAGCAAGGGGCTTTTCCAGGTGGTGTCGGGGGGCACAGTGCTCCAGCTCCAGCGCAATGACCAGGTCTGGATCGAGAAGGACCCTACCAAGGGCCGCATTTATGAGGGGATTGAGGCAGACAGCATCTTCAGTGGCTTCCTCATCTTCCCATCCACCTGAGTCAGGCGGGGACCCCTGCAGCACACACTCTAGCCTCATCTGCTTTATGCTGTGTGACCCTGGGACACTCACCCCACCTCTCTGATCTTCTACGTCCTCCTCTATAAAAACAGGTGTGGTGTTGCTTTTGCTGCCTGAAGGCTGGAGAGTGACTCAGAGGCCTGTAGGACTTGCTGTCCCACTGTGTGCTCTCCAAAGGATATTACTCTTTAGAACTCTTCCCAAAATAAATGCCTGTGTCTGTGTCTGCTGAGCTGTGGTTGAGTGCCTGTCCTGGGCATTGCGTGGTCTGGGTTAAAAACAGTTGTTGTCAAGTTGATGCTGACTAATGGCACTCTCATATGTGCCAGAGCGGAAGTGGGTTCCATGGAGTTCAAAGGCTGGTTTTTTAGAAATGGACTGCCAGGCCTTTCTTCTATGTTGCGTCAGAGTGAATTCCATCTTCCAGCCTTTAGATTTACTGCATTTTAATCACTTGCGCCACTAAGGGACAAAGATATGCCTAAGAATAACAATAATTGTTAAGTACTTACGAGACAGGCCCATATTTAGTATTTTGCTTCATGTATTTAGCAGGTTCTGGAGCCATCAATGCCTGGGTTCAAATCCTGGATCCACTACTTGTTATCCAATCACAAGTGCATGTTATATAACATTGATGAATCTCAATTAAAATTAAAATCTCATTAAGTGAGACTGATAATGGACTTACCTCAGTATATTCTTGAGAGGATTAAGTGACATTGTTGTGTGCTGTTGAGTCCAGCAGGTTTTCAGAGCAAAGTAATCGCACGGAGGAAATTGCACATCCTTCTCCCACAGAGCAGCTGGTGGATTTAAACCTCAGACCTATTGAATAACATAAGATGTGAAACTCTGAGACAGCATCAAGTTCACTGTAAGGACTATGTCAGTTTCTGCTATTGTAATATGGTGTTTAAGGGGCTTTTATAGGCTTCTGGAAGGCTTTCTGATCCCATTTTACATATAATAAAATTGAGGCAGGTAAAGCCAAGGTCAGTAGCCAAGGTCAGGAGCTGGGATTTGAACTCAAGTCCTGCTGAACCCCATGCCCAGTTGCTAAACTATTAGCCTCCCCAGCATCATCAGCCTCCGCAGTTATATGTGAGACAAATTACCGTGTTCCCCTCCAACTCTATTCCTCAGGGACAGGTTCAGAGAGGGCAAGTAATTGATTCCGAGACACCCAGCTATACTCCCAGCAGCTTCTACCTGATAGACTTGGGACTTGGAGTAATCTTCTGGGCATCTCTGCTGGAGGTTGGAGGGTAGAGGATCTTCAAGGATCCTAGGGTGCATCTCCAGTAGTCCACTCACCCCATCTGGGAGCTGCTTAAAATAAAAAAGCCCCATTATATTCTTTGCCTGTGGGGAGAATGCAGGCAACCTGGAAATGCCTGCACTGAGTGTCTTTTCCAATGGTTGCCTGATTCTCAACGTGCTGCACAGTACACACGCACAATCATATTCACACACAGCAAACACACAGATGCACACACACGCAGACCATACAAGGTCACAGACGTGGTCATGTACACACGACACACTGAGATACACAGGCCCCACATTCCTAGAGTATGACTCATTGGCTACCACAGATATTCAGGCACACGTAACCTCCTCCACACATACACACACTCCCTCAAAGGCACACATGAGTTAATGCCTTCAAGCCACACACAATGCTCGCAGGCACCCACGCCCCCTGCTTCAGATATCCACGTGACGCCCATTAGTCATCAGAACTGCTCATCCACGGACACAAACACCCCTCAAGACACATGTGACTACCCTGGCACCCCCATTAACATGGGTGTCCTCAGCTCGCCCCCCCCCCCGACACACACATGCCTGGAAATGTCTGTGTCCTCACTCCATGCACACTCAGACTCCACAGAGACACAAGGACTGTCCCCATCCATTAATACAAAGAGCTGCAGTACCTTCATACATGTAACACCCCATTACCTCCCTTAGACACTCACATACAGAGTCCAGATCTGTGGATGAGGCATCCCCTGTTCAGAAGGCCAGACCTTCTTGGGGGCTGCTGCCACCCTTGTCCTGCCAACAATCTTCAAGGATCTGTTACAGGTGCGAGGCTTCCCAGGAAGGAGACAGAGATCGATTCCTCACTGCCCCTGGCCCCCCTTCAAGCCCCAGCTCTCTTGCCCAGTCCTTCTGTCATCCACCCACATGGCCATGGACCAGAAAAGGAAACCTTTTTGAGCGCTAAATTACATACCGGATACGTTATAGTTTAATGCGTTCAATCCCAGCACGGTGAAGGAAGACAACTGAGAGAAAGGAGTTGTCTAAACTCACACAGTAGATATGAACTATGTCTGTCTGATCCCAAGCAGGGTTTTCTGCCATTTCCATGGGACACAGAGACTGGCCCAGCTGGGTACTGGAAAAGCGGCAGATAAGACCAGGCTACATATGGTGGGTGCTGAAGAGCCAGGCTTTCTCTTCCCATCTCACCCATACCTAGCCTCCCATTCAAACCTGGGGCTTGGGAAATCTCAGAGGAGCTACTGGCCCCTCAGGGAGGAGGGAAGGAGCCTGAGCCGAGCTGACGGGCAGGCGGGCCCCAGGTGAAGTGGAGCACGGGCTGAGGCTGCCACCTGCTGGACAAACTAGGCCAAGCATGGACGAGACACATGGTGCAGGGGAGCCCTGGGTACCACAAGGGGTACCACAAGCTCCTTACCTGGGGAAAAAAGCTGCTGCTCTCAAACGTCCTTCCCAGCCTGAGGGCCTTCCCAGCGGCCTCTCAGGGCCAGTGCACCTAAATCTTTGATCTCATCCATGCTTTCAGCAGCCCGATATCCCAGCAGGGGGCTGTGCAGCACGTGTGAGCAGGGACAAGGCTCTGAACCCCTGCCTGAGCTTAGTACAGGGTGAAAAAGGTCTGTTATGTACAGAATACTCACCTTGGCCCCGTGCACCCACTACTGCAATCCTCCATCCTATAGAGGGGTCCCCAACCCTCAGGGAACTCAAGTCCTCACGCAGTCACAGGGGAGGCACAGTGGGGTCAGGATTGAGAATTTTATTGTCTATTTCAGAAGTCTTCATTGAACACTCACAGCTCTTCCAGTCTTCATTCCCCTTTCCCAATAACCTGTCACCAGGCAAGAACAAAGACAATGGATTCCCAGGGTGGTAGCAGGAAAGGTGGATGGGGAAAGCAAGGGTCTCAACAAAGGAGGAGGCGTGAACACTCTGCCAAGGATTCCCAGTACACAGATGGGAAAACTGAGGCCAGAGGCCTGGAACAAGGGAGTGGCAGGACTGGAAAGAGAACCAAAGGCCACGGTGGTTTGTCCTCTGCAGTGGCAGCCTGCTGTCAAAGCTTGCCCATCCTGGATGCATACCCTCAAGTGTGTCAAATAGACTGAGGGAATGGGAAGCGTCTAGAACAGGGCCAGCCACAAGTGCATACAAGGTTCGTTTCTGGGGGCATCTGAGAAGAAGGGTCTAAGGGAGGCTTTGGATACAAAGTGTCCCTGTGTGACTTTGGGAGAAAGTTTCTGCCCCCCCGCCCCGAGCCTTCTCTCATGGTCAATGAGTTGGAACGGCTTAGTTTTCTCATATGTAAAGGGACCAGGTTCTACCTTCCTTCTAGAGTGATCGCTGACATACAACAGTTGGCATGAGACGGGCTGAACTTGACAGTGGGGAAGTCTGTGTCCAGGAGGCTGTGTCTTCACACACACTCCCACCCTCAACCAGATGTCAGGGTTCAGGATGCTTCCTTATTTTATACCCCCATGACCGGCAGAAGGAGTACAGGGTGTTCCTGTGGTCAGTCTGGCTCAGCACCCAAAGGAAAGTGTCATGTCAGGGAAAATGGGAAAGGGGATGTGGGACTGGGGGGAGGAGAGGAAGGCAGGAGGAGGGGAGGGGGCCCAGCAAACTTGGCAGTCACTGCAACACAGAGTCCTCCTGCCAGGAGAGGCAGATTCGAAGACATCTCTGTGGCCAGAGCCTCCCTCCTCCAGGTAAGCCCAGCCCTGCCCAGGCGAGAATACAGGGCCGTCCTGTCCCTGCACAGCCTTCCTGAAATTGGGCTCTAGGAAAGCCTGCCTCCTGCAGGAGAGAGAGCGACCCTACCTCCTGGGAGACCTGGGGTCTGGAGGGAGGGAGGCTTTGGGGCTGCAAGGACTGACCCTGGGAAATGACGATAAGAGGAGAGGTGGAAGGCTGGAAGGGGGCAACTTCCAACTCCATCTTCTTCCACCCAGCTCCTTCCCAGGACAGACATGGGGTTCAGGACCCAGAACACCCTTGGACTTACCCTACTGCTGCTCCTGCTGCCACTGCCACTCAGGGGCCAGACCAGCATGAGCTGCTATGGGATCCCGGGGATGCCGGGTCTGCCAGGGGCTCCAGGGAAGGACGGGCATGATGGGCTCCAAGGGCCCAAGGGGGAGCCAGGTAAGTCTGCTGCCCTGTGGGGAAGGGAGGAGTGCTGGAATTTCTAGGGGGAGGGCAGCCACTAGATGGCAGGAAATGCCACCCCTCCCACCACATCTGCTCCCAGGGCTGAGCCTGAGCCCCTCTCCTGATAGCCATGGTGACTTTGGGCCCCATTCACCTTTTTGGTCCTCAGTGTCCCCAACTGAAAATATTTATGATCGTCAAGTCAATTTTGACACATAGTGACCCCTTAGGATAGAGTAAACCTGTCCCACAGGATTCCCAAGCCTGTGAATCTTTACAGAGCCGGCGGTCACAGCCTTCTCCCGTGGAACAGGGGGCAGGTGCAAACCACCATGCTTTCTGTTAGCACCTGAATTTCTTAATCACTAAGCCACCAGAGCTTCTCATCTGATAAAAGAATAAAAGTGCCTGCCCCAGAAGTCGCAGTGTTTTCCCCATGAGGTGATGTATGTGAAAGTCTTAAGTTTTAAAGCGCTCTCTATTAATTTACCACATGGAGTTCTTCCACAACTTGCCTGCCACAAAGACATCCAAAGGGGATAGACCATGCGCAGACTGCTTGGGTTGGAGGCTAACTTCACCATCCCCCAGCTATGCACGAGTGTCTGCACAAGTTAATTAACCTGGCACTGCCTCAGTTTCTTCATCTGTAAAATGGGGAGATAGTACAACCTGCTTCACAGGGGTGTTCAGAGGCTTAAGGCAGTTTAAATCTAAAACATGCATTTAATATAAGCACCAGGCAGGGCTCTTGTAAGTTACAAGCTATTGTCATTATTGTTATATCTATTGCCATTATTGTTGTACCTATCACAACATCAGACTGCTGGACTCATCTCTTGGTGCAGAATTCCAGAGATTTGGAGGAATGGGGAGTGAGACTCAGGGCTGTAGCCATGGAATCTAATGGCAGAGATTCACAGGCACACCTAGGGCTGAGAGTATGAATGGGTGGCTGTGAAGTGTGAACATGGAGTTCTAGAGCTGGCATGGAAGAGGCTGGGGCATGGCCCGGGGACAGCTGATCGGGAGATGGTAGAAGCAGAGGGGAGAGAAGCCAGTAGAGAATTACATAAGAAATTTCCCCATCATTATCTTTCCTCCCTGAGGTGAAGGAGAATGTTAGCAATGTGAGCTCCCCTCCCACCGGATGATTCTGTGTTCTAGACCCTGTAGGTCCAGCTGCCTCTGGGCAGCTCCTTGACCAAGTGGCTGTGGTAACTGCATGCCCAGGTCTGTGTGTCCAGCACTCCTGCAAAGGCTCCGTACTGCTACCTGACAGGAGAGAGGAACGTCTCCATGACGCAAATGAGAACATAGCACCAAAACTTCTTTGAAGATGGAAGGTTTGCTTCCCTTTTACACGTCAAACCTAGGGTTCTGAGATGCTGATCAATATGCTTAAAGCCACACAGCAGAATCCTTTCAGATACTGCTCAACCGGAAAGCTCTTAACCCTACTCTCCACTGCCTCTCAGGCCACCTTCCCTGGTGCTAAGCAAGACACAAGCAGAAATCTCACAGTGGGATTCATGAAGATGTTTGGAAGAATGTGGCCCAGGCAGTAATCCTAACGGAGCCCATAGTGTGAACACTGGCTTCCAGGTGTCTGCACCCTGTGCAGGGCTTCCGCTTTGGGGCATTGTCTCCTCTCCCTCCCGGAGCAGCTCAGGCATCAGTTATGTCACTGTGATTTCAACTTAGCAAACAGACTCCTGGGCCAAGACCACGTAACCTGAAGCCAGGGCCTTCTGGGTCTTGGTCCCACATTCCTAAGCCTCTGAGCCTCTGGCCCTGACCACAGAGATGTGAGGAGCTAAAAGGGTAAGAAGCCCCCTAGGATCGTACAGAGGTCGGCACGGACAGCGCTCTAAAGGCTCAGGGCAAGAAGAACTCAGCCAGAGGTAGTAGAAGGAGGTAATCAGGGAGGACTTCCTGGAAGAGAGAGACATCTTCAGATCATAAAAAATGGAATCCTTGAGTGGTGCAGAGTTTAGTGTTCAGTTATTAGCCAAAAAGTCGACAATTGAAGTCCACCAAGAGGTACAACGGAAGTAAGACCTGGCGATCTACTTCTGAAAAATCTGCCATTGAAAACTATGTGGAGCACCATTCCACCCTGAGTCTATGAGGTCACCCAAGTCAGAATTGACCCAACAGCAGTGGTTTGCGAGCAAGACAAGAGATTAATTTCTACAGATGTTTGGGTGGTCATGGCTGTATAGCAAGTTTCAAGACTTAATCCAAGTCTTGAACTGTACTTTGTTCTGGCTGTGTGGCCCTGGGCATATCTCTGGCCTTGGTTTCCTCTTCTGCAACATGGGGTTGCTGAATGAGGGCAGCTCAGGGCTGAGGGGGGCTGAGTTGGCTGGGGGCAGGGCAGCCAACACTTGGGTCCAGCCAGTGGATGCCCTGTTTAAGTGACAGCCTCGTGTGGCCTGATCTCAGGAATGGATACAAAGGGGGGGGGGGGGACTCTGAAGTTTCCAAAATGTTATAGGACCTCTTCACGAAACAGAATACAAAATTATAAATACACTTGATTATGGTGGTGATTACAAATTTGACAAAATTAACCTAGAATCACACACACACACACACACGCAAAAAAGATCAGTGAATTGAGTCAATGTCAAGTTCCTAATTCTTATACTGACCTTTGGTTACATAAATGCACCACGGTGGAAAGCTATGTGAAGGGTATGTACATGTTATTTTTCCATACATTTTGTTCAACTTCTTTGCTTCTAAGAATTTAAAAAATAATGAATAGTTGAAACAACATTCTAAATACAAAATTAAAATTAGGCAAAGGGCATTAGCAGGGCCGAATCAGCAAAGGGGTCTGAAGTGAAAGAAGCTTCATGAACTTCCCAGAAAATCTAAATAATGTTTGTGTCAAGATGGACAACAGGGCAATTTTTACATTTTTTAAAAAATTTTATTATTTTTGTGTGCATATACCGTCAAATCAGATCTGACTGGTACAGGAGGAGATTGTCCCTCCTTCCCCGGCAAAGCATCTGGTGGATTCGAACTGTTTGCCTCTGGGATTGTAGTTGCAGCTCCTTGCCACTAGGCCACCAGAGCTCCCCTCAATTTTTACATTTTGTTAGGGATAGAATCTAAATTTTTAAAAAACAAAAGAATCACATGGGCCTGCCAATTAGAAGGTACATGCAGGCCCCATGTCAGTCACAAATAGTCCTCTGCCGTCACTGATGCCACAGGACCTGCCCTCTCACCCCATGGTTATAGAAATTGCAAGCAAAAGCCAGGGATACCTTAACCGAGGCCAGAGCGTGAGTACACGGAGAGGCAGGCTTTGAATGTGGATTTCCCTCCACTCTGACAGTCTGACTCCCTGCACAGTGCTCCCAGATCGATATGCCATCTGGAGAAAGGACTTTCAGAGACCAAACACTGTTAGTGTCCCCTGAGGACATCCCCAGAGCCCTTGTACCTGTTTCTGGCCCCATCACTTCCTTCCTTCCTGTTCTCTTCCCAGGAATCCCAGCTATCCCTGGTACACAAGGACCCAAGGGCCAGAAAGGAGAACCTGGCACACCTGGTCATCCTGGGAAAAATGGTCCCATAGGGGCCTCTGGGATTCCAGGGATCCCAGGCATCCCAGGCCCCCCTGGAGAGCCAGGCGAGGAGGGTCGATACAAGCAGAAGCACCAGTCTGTGTTCACAGTGACAAGGCAGACAATCCAGTACCCAACACCCAACAACCTGGTCAAGTTCAACACAGTCATCACCAACCCGCAGGGTCACTACAACACGAGCTCTGGCAAGTTCACCTGCAAAGTCCCCGGCCTCTACTACTTCGTCTATCACACATCGCAGACGTCCAACCTGTGCGTGCTTTTGTACCATAGTGGCGTCAGGGTGACCACCTTCTGTGAGCACATGGCCAACACCAATCAGGTCAGCTCAGGCGGTGTGCTGCTGCGGCTGCAGGTGAACGACGAGGTGTGGCTGGCTGTCAACGACTACAACGGCATGGTGGGCACCGAGGGCTCAGACAGCGTCTTCTCCGGCTTCCTGCTCTTTCCCGACTAGGTGGGCGGCCCCACCTCCCACACCTTCCCAGCATGGACCAGCCAGATTGGGCGGCCCAGCCCTGGCCAGGCTCACCTGAGGGACCAGGAAGCCTTCCCTGACTGCCCCACCCCCTGCATCTCTTCCTTCCTTGGATTGCCTCTACGAACCATTGTTTGTCCCATTCCTTTGATACCTTAACCAAAACTTTTTGGTGTTGTCTCTTTTTTTTCCTCCCTCCCAAGTCTTGACAGAGGTAGGGAATTGTCTAAATAAATAATTGAATGTGTGGTGGGCATGACTCAGCTTCCTCTGTCCCCCTTGGAATGGGTGACCTCCTCTTCAACTCTACACTAATCACAGCTGCCCCTGGGCCCTAGTCTCAGACAGAGATGTCACCGGTGCTGACTGAAGCCTGGCTAATGGTAAAAAAAGTATTCGGCACCATCTGGTCTGATGGGAGAGATGCCCAAGTGTGGTCAGGACCCACAAGATGTCCCCAGGAGGCCATCTCTTGTCACTTACTTTGGTGAGAGGCACTGCTGTCATGACATGACAGGTATCTGTGCAAACGGGCAAATGACTGTGTTATTTATTCCCCATGTTGAATATGGGGAGCACTTTGGTGTAGTTAACATGCTCACTGCTACTAAAAGGTTGGTGGTTCAAACCTTCATCACAGCACTTTGGAAGTAAGGTCTGGCAACCTCCTCCAGAAAATCAGCCATTGAAAACCCCACAAAGTAGATGTAAATGAGGTAATTAAGAGTCAAAATGGCCTCTATAGGCAGAGGCCTGGTTTGTCCCAGGGGAAGGGGGGTGATCAGTAGAGCATCTTGAGGCAGCAACGAATTTGTGCTGAGTAGATGGGGTGGGTGAAGAAGTGGGTGAATGAATGGGTGAGTGCATGCACAGAACGTGCGTGAGTGACTGAAAATTGTAACAGCTAACACTTATTGAACATTCACCATGCAGCAGGCATTACGTGCTGTGTCTTACAGATGCTAACTCTTTTAGAATTTGCAGTCAGCCCTGAGATGAATGTGAGGGAAAGAGTGGAAACATCTCCCCAGAAACCTCGCTGCCACTGGGAGGCCCAGGAAGGCCGCCAAGTTTGACCATGAGCGTCCTGACGTTGGCACGGCTGTCATGTTCCTTGTGGAAGGACTGGGGAGGCTGCCATTCATTGTTGCCTTGGTGTCACTGCAGCGTGGGCACCAGGAAGAACTGACAGCTCGAATGCAAAAAGATGAAAAGTGTAACTTTTCTATGCAGATGTCAGAATCCAGAGAGGCTTGTTGAGGCGCAGAGAGAAGTCAGCTGGGGATCTCAGCAAGGGTGAGAGCTGGGGTAGAAATGCAAAGTCTCTGCAGAGAGGTCAAACTGGGTTCCCTGAGGTCCATGAAACTCACAAAGGCTCTGGCTGACTAAAAGTGGGCTTCAATGTGGTGGTCACAAGAGGTACAGCTGAGTCCCACCACTTCCATCTCTGTCACACTTCTGTCTCTGAACAGGGTTATTGCCCACCTCCATGCCGTTGCCCTTGATGTCCCTGTATCCTGAAGCTCACCCTCTGACCCATCCATACAAATCCTCCATCCACCTGGCTCATACCCTCTCAATGGTCAGGACTCAGTTCAAAATCACTGCCTCCAAGAAGCCTTCCCTGATTCCACCTTTGTGCTCCCACAAGACCCTGGGATACAAACGCATGACACTTTGGAGCCCAGGTCACCAAATCTGATGGTACGATGAAGTCATTTATAACCAGTTCTAAAAAGACAGATAACTGGAGCCTAGACTGTCTTTCTAGAAGTTTGGGGAAAATAAGACTTCAATGAGTAAGGAGTAGGGTTTTGCCAGGTCAATGTGATGCATAAGGTCCACTTCCTGCTTTCTTCCTCACCTTCAGGTCTCTCTTTCCCACTACTGTGGGCATCTTTGAGGGTGAGTTCCCCTCTAACACGGGTCTGTATGTCCCACCTGTCAGGTGCCTGGTCCCTGATAGGTGGGAGCCACAGACGGTATACAATGGGGAGGAGGGACTGTCCACGAGGCCTCTGTTCACTCTCTCCCTCCATCAACCACTTAGCAGTCTGCGCGGCAATGCCGCGAGTGATACATCTTTTCTTCTCATTTCTCCTTTGTTTACAAAATCAATACACCGTTTATGTAGGCCACAGTGTCAGATCAGAAACCTGTGCTTTGGAAGCGACAATTTTTGTGCTGTTTTTATTTTCCATAATTGTTTCCTTGTTGTTCTCCCTGAGCCAGGAGAGAAAGGCCTTTGAACACGCCAGTGTGTCCTCTGGGCTGGGGGGAGCTGGGAGCTTTTTGAAGGTATTTTGAAGGCAGAGACAGCCCCTTGGGGTCCAGAAGGGATGGAGGTGAGGTAGAAGCAGCCAAAAAATCTCCCAAACTGCAAGGGATTGCTTTCTGACCACAGGGAGTTGAGGGTATGCGGGCTGTTTTCTTTTCCACTCCTTCCTAATACCAACTTCTGTCTATCACGGATGCAAGTCAGCGATTTTATGTATACAGATTTCAACTAGCTCCTCCTCAGGGGTCCAAACCCACAGACTCCTCAGCTTCTGATCCCTTAGTCCTGTCCTCCCCAAAACTCAGGCTGGCTCCTTGGTTCCCAAGAATCTTCTTATCTTCTTTTGATGCAAATAATAGAGTTCCCAGGTGCACAATGGGTGCTTACTGAGGGCTGGGCATGAAGCTAAACCCTGGATGTGCAAGGTTATCTCCCTGGATGCTCCCCAGAATCCCAGCAGCTGGGTGCTCCTGCCTCTGACTTCCATATTGGGAAACCAAGGTATAAACATGCCTGATGCTACATAAATAGACAGCTCTAGCACTCAAACTCAATCAAGGCTCATTCTGAAGCCCATGGTCTTAGCCCATCTCTGCTGCCTCCAGAAGTCTCAGATGGCACAAACAGTTAAGCACTGGACAATTAGACAACAGATTGATAGTTCAAACCCAACTAGAGATATTTTGGTAATCTGCTTCCAGAAGGTTATAACATTTAAAAAGGTTCCAGCCTTGAACCCCTTATGGAGCAGTTCTATCTGCACACGCAAGGTCTCCGTGAGCTGGAATCGACTCACCAGCGAAGGACAACCACTGATTCCTGTTCTTTGTCTCACTCTGCTTCTCCCCCAAGTTCAAGATGATCTGTATTCATCATCTGAACCACCAAGAAATCAGAGGCGAGGCCAAGCAGATTCTCAAACTTAAAATCTCCTATCTCCCTCTCCCTGCTTGGAACCCACGTCTTGCCTTCTTCAATGGGTCCCTTTGAGTCTGCCCTTTGTCTGGGCTGTGAAACCATTTGGTTTCAGTCAACTGGTCTTCTCCTTCCCTACACTAATTCATTTCCATCAATTAGCAATCACAGGCTCATTGATTTTCTGTGTCCAAATTTGGATATCCTGATGACGGCAACTATCCTTGAGAGGGTGACCGTTACAGGAGGCTGACGTCCTGGTACTGGGAGGCCAGGAGCCCAAATCGTCCCTGACAGTGACCCAGGTGGTAACTTCTTACCTGAGACTTTTCTCACAGTAGCAATGAGCTCATGTGTCATAGGATGGCCCATACCAGCCTCCTCCAGTAGAAAAGAAGCCTCGTGGGGACAGGGACCACAGCTTTTCTGCCCAGGACCTAGAGTCTCCCCATATATACTTGTTGAAAGATGATTTTTACCTCTCTGGGCCTCAGTTTCCCCATGTGTAACATTATGGGCCTGGGTCCCCAAGCCTGTCTTCAGCCCTGGCTTGATAAAATTCCAGAATCAACAAGCAACGGGCCTCGGCCTGGGATTTGTTATTGTCATCAGCTTCAAGCCCTGCTGGACACAGAGGATGGGGTATAAATAAATAATGATCCCATTTAAAATTCATTATTAGATTCTTTTCTGAGAACAGGGCAATAGGAGCGCAGAATGAAAAAGAAGCAGAAGAGACAAGTGCAGAAAAGGGAAGCCTGCAGTGGACTGATATTAACAATTAACGTGTGCACAGAGCTCTACAGCCTGACCCGTGCTTTCCCCTCCATGGTCCCAGCTGAGCCTCCCAGTGTCCCATGAGACCTATGGAGCAGATGTGGTGATGGCCCCATTATGCAGAGGTGAAAACTGAACCCTCATGGCCTCCCTTGGCTGAAAAGGTTCAGGTGGTAAGTGGCAGAGACAGAACTCATACCAGAGTCTCTGCACAGCCAGTGCTCAGGCCCCAGGCCAGTGTGTTAGCCTTCCATGGCGTGACAACTCTGTTCCCCACCGAAAACCACAGGTCACAGGGCCTCAGTCGGGGAGCTGCCCGCTGTGGACATCCCCAGGACAGCCCATTCTCCCCACAGCTGCTGAACCAGCGAAACAAAGCAACCCGGCCACCCAGCCCACTTACAATAATCCCGTCTGGATTGCAGAAACAGGACCTGAAACTGCCTGAGGGCTGTAAGAGGGGTGAGAGAGGGGTGGGTGAGAGAGGGGTGATGGGCAAGGGGCAGGCAAGGGAAGGCCCTTGCTCCTGCCTCTAGGAAATGGAACTTCCGCTTGGGACTGAGAGTAACCAGTGAGTCCCCGGCCTTGCTGCTGCCCAGCCCTGCAGAATCACAGGACACTGGGTCCCCAGGTAAGGATGGGCTCAGTGCTTGGGGACTGGCAGATCCAATATGGCAAAGGGGAAGAGTGGTTGGTTCTCCAGGTGGTCACCCGAGTGTTCCTAGCAGTGGGGATTGCTGGGCCTAACCCCAGATTTACAGGTCAGATTCTTTGCCAGTGGAAGGGGGGAAGTCCGCTGCCACCCAGGACACAGGTGACTGGGGGTAATGGGAACGGTAGGGCCCAAGGGGCTTTAGGGTTGCAGAGATTTGCGTTGAGTCCTGCTTCTTCCTCTTATGTGCTAGTGATTCTGAGCAAATCACCTAATCTCTCTGATGTTGTTGTTGTTAGGTGTCGTCGAGTCATAGCGACCCTATGAACGAACAGCCTGAGCACTGTTCGAACAGAGTTTCCGGAGGCAAGCCATTTCGGAAGTGGATGCCGTTCCTGCTTCCAGGCCCCCCAGAATAAGACCCTTTTCTGGGACCACTGTGTGATTAAGCTCAGCACTGCCAGCACCTTATCTGGTGGCTCAAACATGTCCGCAAACCTGAGGCAGAGGTGAAATTAGAACCCAGGGCGCCCTCTGCCCAGCCCCAGACTCCCCAAAGCCTTGCTGCCCTCACTTCCTCACCGTCTTCTGAGAGTTCTCAACTTGACTCTTTCAAGGAAAGAATGTGATTTGCAGGTGGAACTGTGATTCATTCGTAGTACTGTGCGAACTCCGTGATGTTTACAAAGGTGGGCACAGGAACAGGCACTAGAATGGCTCCTTTTTGTAAGACCTAAATAATTTTCAATCCTTCTGGCAGCCCTGTCAGTTCAAAATGTGCATTGAAGAGGCTCAGAAAGGTTAAGGTGTTTGCCCGCAGGTCATGCAGTGAGGCAACAGCAGAGGGAAAGTTCAAGGTCAAGAGGGATGGGGAATGTCTGGGCTGGAACCAACAGAGGGGGAAAGTCAGGAGCACAACTGAAGGTGACCATGGGTTGACTGAGGGATGAAGGTGATCAGATCAGATAAGTCTGAAGACCTCCCCAACTCTGAGACTCAGGAGACCCTTGAAATGTGCTAGAACCCAGCTCTTCCCATGCTCACCCCACCCAACTCTAGCTTCCCCAAGAAGTCCAAGTCTCATCAGTGGTCAGACCCAGCACCCCTGAGTTACCTCCTCCTTTTTATTTTACCAACCGTCTTCCCTCCTGTTCAGAATTTAGAGTCGTAGTGGTGATGGTGATAATGCTGGAACAGCTAGTATTCATCAAGCATTCTAACAGTCTATGTTCTTTTGCAAGCCCTAAGTCATTAGCTCTTACACCAAACCTATGAGGTAGAATCAGCATTGCTCTCATTTTATAATTGGAAATATTGAGACCAGACAAATTACTTGCTCAAAGTACTGGTCACACCCACTTTTGCTACTTTCCTTCCCCCACTTGGAGCCCAGTATCTGGCATAAACAGGGAAGTTGGGACATGTTTCATAAACTGGTGAGGACAGAACTGAGGCTGATGTTCAGAGCATACAACTCAAGGATCAGCAAGTTTTGAGGGCCACTGGAAACCTTTTATGTGGTAAATTATGGAATTGGTATGACTTTGGGGAGCTGCATTTCTAAAACAAAAGTCAAGCCTCCTTGGTGGTTCAAATCCATCAGCAGCTCTGGGGGGAAAAGTGTGCCATCTACCTACCTTCACTCCTCCACCACTACCCCATACGATTTACAGCCTTGGAAATCCAATGGAGGGTCAAGTGTGAGTCAATTCTGACTCGGTGGCAATGTATTTGCAATGACTTTGGGTAAGCTGCTTTCTAATTTTTGAGCCTTATTTTTTTCACCTGTAAGATGGGAAAATGAACACAGCCCACTTCCTCAAGGTGCTGAGAAGGTCTGACAGCAGCAGCAAGTTCAACAAGAGCTCAGAGCTTCGTGATTCTCTCCCACCTGTTGGCCTCATCTTAGCCCCAGGTTCATGCAAGGACCACAGTTTTCTCCCATTATAATAGAGAACAGCTTAGGAGAGGGAATTGGTGAGGAGGTAAGAGAGGGAATATGGGTAATAATAAGTAGGCTGTTTGGGTAGGTAGTAAGTTGTCTGTTTTGTTTTGTTTTTTTAATTGTGATTTTGACAAAAGTTTACAGAAAAGTTGGATTTCCTCTCATTCATTGTTGCATAATTTCCTCCCTCCCCACATCCCCCCGTCGACTTTGCCATGTACCTCTTATTCTGGACTGTTGTCATACAAATAATGCCTAATCATGTATTCTCTTTAAACACTTCTTTCCTTCATCTGTTCCAATGCAGTGTTCATTATCCCCTCTTTTCTTGGTTTCCCACCAGTAAGTTAGTTGTCTGTTATTGAAACAGTGCGAGCCACGAATGGAAGAGCTTTTCCCAGAGATGTTATTGAGGACAGTTGAAGGGGATAAATGTCTGTCTTGAGAATCAGTACAATAGGAGGTGGGCCAAACAGGGCTGGCCAGCTATAATCCACAGGCTTCTTCTTAGTTCTTGGACTAGGAAGGAACAGCGTCACTTTACCATCCAAAACTGGGCAAATGACCTTTTCAATGGAAAAATAACAATTTTTAACATGCAGGGTTCAGATCTATAATAGAGCTTCTGTGAGTCATATCTGATGTGACAGCACCTAACAGCAACAACAACACAAAGAGTTGCTCTAAGGATGCGAAGTGGTCCCCAAAGGAGTCACATAGCCGTCCTGAATTCAGAAGTCCCCATGAATGAAGACACAATGAAGAAAATCCTAATCTTATACGCATGGCTTTCAAGATCCTACATCAGCCCCTGCCCAAAAGAACTCCCATCATTTTGACTCCTCCCTACCTTCTGGCCACACCAGCCTTCCTGCTGATCCTGAATTTCCAAGCTCTGTCCTCCTGCTGGACCTTTTCTCTTGCTATCTCTTCTTCCTAAAACAGTCTTGTCCCAACTTTTTCTGTTTTTCAGATCTCAGCCTAAACATCACTTCCCCAGAGAACTGCATCTTCTCCAGGAACTTCCTCCTCACCTCAGCCCACTTATTCTCCCTCCCAGCAGCCTCTCACTTCTTTCAGGGCACCAATCACAGTCTCTGCCTGTATGTTTGTTGATTTGTTTGCTGTCCGCCATCCCCCTAGACTGTCAGGGAGCATCACTGAGTCCCCAGCACCTGGAGCAGGGTCTGGTACATAGGAGACACTTAGTGAACATATGGATGAGTGATAGGTGTCACCATGGTGATAACCCTCCGCATCTTCTCCTATTGCAGGAGGCAATTGAGACGGTGCAGTCATGACGATCCTGTGTGGTGGCATCCCCGCACTGCTGCCACTGATGCTTCTGAATCTGCTTGGTGTCTCCTGGGCCCAGAGCAGCTGCACTGGTCACGCAGCCATCCCTGGCATCCCAGGCATCCCTGGGGCACCAGGCGCTTATGGCCAACCTGGAACTCCAGGGGTAAAAGGAGAGAGAGGTACCATGGGTTTTCGGGGACACACTCCTGCCTCCTCAGTCATAGTTGTCTACCTTAGAGATTGTAAAAGCACTTGCAACTCCATCAGCTTGCTGGGCCCTCTCAGTGACCCAGTGACCTTAAAGGAGAGGTCTGTGCCTCCCATTTTATAGTTGGGAAAATTGATGTCCAGAAAGGCTACTGACTTGCCAAGTTTGCCCATTAATTATGAAGCCTGAGAGTAAAACAGAGATATCTTACTTCTAAATCCAGGAAGAGAGAGCACCCTAGTGTTGAAAATGTTACAGCCAAAAACAATAATTAAAGGGAGAGATATTATTCCTAAAAAAAAAAAAAAAGAAAATGTTACAGCCATGGGTTTGCATTCATGCCCAAGATAAGTGGCTTCCTCTCTCTGACTTGCTTGTAAAATGAAGACAATCATTGCTCAGGGTTGTTGGGGAGTTCAAATAAGATCCACTTTCTTGAAAACCCTCTGCAAAATGTAGTTCATTCACTGTACCCATGGTTATGGAGCAATCAGCCCACCAGCTCAACTCATATCATCTTACTCGGTCCTCGCCATCCCACAAAATAATCATTATCTACATTTTACAAATGAGGAAGTTAAGCCTCAGAGACTATGACTCCATCAAGGTGACACAATAATAGTAGATGTGACATTAGAAGCACATCTGTCTAACCGCAGAGTCCATGTACCATGCTAAAAAAGCAGGTTTTATCCTGTCCTGGGCCAACCTGACTAGCACTATCTGGTTTGCAGTGCCGTACTGAGCAGCAGTGGAAGGCCCACTTTCAGGCCCAGCAAGGAGTGCTGTTATTGATTAAGGATGTCTGCCATGGGCAAGAGTGTAGAGTGGGATAGTGAATGTGCTTTGACTTTATAGTGCCAGTTTCAATTTAAACAGACTGGGGTACCTAGAGAAGCTAATGTAGAAGGCAGGCCAGTATTCTCCTATGGAGAAACCTCCCTAAATACCTTCCCAGATACGTCCTTCCCTCACTCACTGGTATCTTAAAAGTATCAACATGTCACAGACTCAAAACCACCAGGACAAATAGAGGCTCAGAGGATCTCTCTGACAGCCCTCTCTTTTTTACATTTAAGAGAGAAGCAAGATCTTGCCCAAGGTCGCAGCCAGACTCCTCTGTTGTCTAGTCTTGGGTTTTCAATGATCTCAAAGGCTCCTCAGTTCTCTTGTCTCCACTTTTCCAGGTCTGCCAGGACTAGCTGGAGACCACGGGGAGTTTGGCGAGAAAGGGGATCCAGGGACCCCTGGGAATCCAGGAAAAGTTGGCCCTAAGGGTCCCATTGGCCCCAAAGGCTCCCCAGGACTCCCTGGATTCCGTGGCCAAAAGGGTGAATCGGGAGACTACAAGGCCACGCAGAAAATTGCCTTTTCCGCCAAGCGGAACACCAACAGTCCCCTGCGGCGGGACCAGGCCATCCGCTTCGAACAGGTGATCACCAACGAGAACAACAACTATGAACCCCGCAATGGCAAGTTCACGTGCAGGGTGCCGGGCCTCTACTACTTCACCTACCACGCCAGCTCTCGTGGGAACCTGTGCGTAAATCTCGTCCGAGGCCGGGAACGCCTTCAGAAGGTGGTCACCTTCTGTGACTACGCCCAGAACACCTTCCAGGTGGCCACGGGCGGCGTGGTCCTCAAGCTGGAGCAGGGCGAGAACGTGTACCTGCAGGCCACTGACAAGAACTCCTTGCTGGGCATGGAAGGCGCTAACAGCATCTTCTCTGGGTTCCTGCTCTTCCCAGACATAGAGGCATGACCTCGTGGGGCTGATACACAGACACCCACCCCCACCCCACCAGCGACACTCGCTTCACCCCAACATCCAGCACCCCAGCCAAAACACTCAGCAGACCTCTATGAGCGTTGAAGAAATGATTAAATAAAGTCTTCACAGCCAAGGGACAGTAGTCTGATTCATCTTTGTACAAATGCTGAGTGAATGACTTAAGTGAGTGACCCCTGAAAGCAGAAATTCCACCCAACTAGAAGTGACTTGAGGCTGCACTCTCTACCCTTTTCTGTGCCAACTGCATGGTGGGAGACAGGATGGAAATATCTAGGGAGCATCTATTATGTGCTAGACTTTTTCCTCCTTCCCACATTAAGTCTCACTCTCCTCTTGGAAATAAGCTGTGTCATGTCCTGTTTATGGAGGAGGAGACTGGGGCTTGGAGGGATAAGGGACTGTCATCATCCCAATGCAAAGTGACACAGAGTCCTGCTCAGCCCAACAATAGCCTGAAACCTCTTAAAGGACAAAATGTTCAGACCAGCCCCCAAGGGTTTCCATGCCTGTAGTTTCTCTCTCTCACACGCGCTCGCATACACACACACACACACACACACACACACACACACACACGAGACCAAGGAGGCCTCCTCCCAAGTCTTAGTTGACCCTGAAGCCAGAATCTTTCCCTTTTTTTATTCTCCTGCATGTTCTCCCTCTCCATATCTTTCCAGCCTAGCACAAGCTCAACCACCCAGTAAGAACAAATGTCACTTTTCTGCTCAAAACCCTTCGTGGCTCCCCACTGCCAACTGGAGATAGTGCCAGTTGTCTGACTGACCTAAAGGTGCTCTGTGGATTGACCTGCCAGTCTCACTCTCTCTTTCCCTAAACGAAGAATATCTCCACTACAGACTGATTAGGTCCTTTTTGTCTCTCAACAAGTCCCATGTTGTCTTAGTGCCTTTCCTCAGTTTCCTCACCTGGAAGCCTTCTTCTCTGCCTATCCAGCCGTCCTTTAAAGCAGAATTCCAGCCACACCTCCCTAAAGCCAGACTGGCCCTCTGACCTCCTCTAAACTCACTGAGACTTGTTCATACTCGAGCTAACTCCCCTGTTCTGACCTCTCTCACATGGTCCCCTATTCCCCATCTCCATCACATTCCTCCCAGCAACCAACTCCACACCCACTAAGCTGTGATCTCATAGCCCTGCTTGTCTCTGAACGTCTTCAGTTGACTAAGGTGCACAGCAGCTGCTCAGATAAAGTGTTTTCATGTGATTGGCAGAGACGCCCTGTATAGGTCCCTTCCAGAGATCCAGCTTTCCTCCCCTGCAATTTACTACTTCTAAAAATCTACTGGAGAGTTAGCTACAGATGACTTCCAACTTTGAACACACAACAACAACCCATTCTCCTCAGCTCCACAAATAGACCCCGCCCATCAATGCTCTCAACTAATTCTGGCCTGAAAGAAGGATTTAAGGCCCCAGAAATAGATGATATACCAAATTACATATTTCAGCTAACAGATGCTGCCTAGGACATGCTCACCAAGTTGTGCCAAGAAATCTGGAGAACAACCCACCTGGCCAACTGACTGTTCTTCTTTGTTCCCATCCCAAAGAAGGGTGACCCAACAGAGTGTGGAAACTATAGAACAATCTCATTGATTTCACATGCAAACAAAATTCTACTGAAGATTATCCAAAAACAACTGGAACAGTACATCAACAGAGAACTGCCAGAAGTCCAGGCTGGGTTTAGAAGGGGTCGTGGTACTAGGGATATTGTAGCTAATGTTAGATGGACCTTAGCTGAAAA